TGCTCGCTGCTCATCGCCTTCCGAGACGAATAGTACAACAGCGCGACAGCGAGCTGCAGCGCGCGCGCCCGCGCCCCATTTCGCAGCGAGGAGGCGAGCGACCGAGTGAGGTTATGAGACCACCTACCTCCAAGTTGTTTCCTCTGAGGCCAGCCGCGAGCGCAGAGTATGGTAGCTGCATCGACGTCGTTACCTCGGCACCATCCTTGTCACATCCATCACTCACACGCCCCACGCCAGCGACACCAGTCTGTCTCTCGCCCTGTCCTCCCTCACTCACACACACACTCGCTCTCGCAGCCTCCTGCCTCCTGCTGCCACCGCCCGCAAGCCTCAGCGCTCAGCCAAGGCGGCTCTCGCACTACTGAGGGCGAGGGCCTGGGAGGGCTTGCGCCCCACCACCCCCTCCCGCGGGATCCCCCCCCCCTCGCCCGGCCCCCTCTCCGCCTCCCAGCCCATCTCACCATGCCGTTCTCTCGAGAACACATTTTTCGCAACAACTTGAAGGGCGGATTTTCTGTTCCTCTCCGAGATTTCTGATGAATGCGCTACGCCGCCGCCGGGTCCAGCGTCGGCCGGCCCGGCCAATTGGAAGCAATTGACTCCCCAGCGGCCACCACCCACGCCACCAGCCACTCGCGCTCATTTCCCTAATTCCTGGTAAATGCGCGTCTCGTGCCCGGCTGGCCGAGCCGAGCGAGCGCCGGGGCCCGAGGTTCACTGGCACCAAGTACCACGTGCTGGTGGTGGCGAGCGCGACATGCTGGTAGCGCGCCCGGGCCGGCCGGCCGGCGAGCGCGTCGGCCTCGTGTTGGTGGCTGTGGTGGCGCCCACCACCCTTCCCAAAGGGCGGAAAGTTGTCACAACGGCATCAGAGTAACGTCAGAAAGTCAAAATTGTGTAATCTACAGAAGTCATGATGTTACCCCCTTCTGGTTGCAGCTTAATGCACGGGATAAAACAATTTTGCTATCACAGCAGACAGTTTTGTAGTGATAACGAAATCCTTTCTTCCGTGCGTCACGACTTGCAGGAGGACCTGCCCCTGCTCCACTCTCGAGATAACGTTTATTTTCTTGACTCCGTGCTCGTTTATTGTCCAGTTTGGAACAACACTCGGCTCGAACTTCCCCCTCGGCTAACACCCTCCCCGTCGGCTATGTTGCAGGCTCCGAGGCCCTCCGCTGCTACACGTGCAGCTCGGACCAGGACCCTCGATGCGCCGACCCGATGGACAAGACGATGCTGCCCACCGACTGCTCCCACGAGCAGGTCAAGCGCGCGCACCGCGCCCTGTCCAGCGTGCTGGGCGCGTCGCACGTCCTGGGCGTGGACGCGTTCGGCGAGCGCTTCATGCAGTACGGCGGTGGCGCCCCCGGCACCATGGGCTGCCAGAAGCTCGACATCCTCGGTGAGTCTCGTGAGTCTGCCGGGCCTCAGTGCTGCAAGCAGACGTGCGCGCGGGTTGCCTGTCGGCACTGAGCACGGCACCTCATGGCCCCGCGCCAGTAGGCAACCTACGCACACGCCTGCGTGACATAGAGGTCGGCCGGAACAACAATAACTATGGTCCACGACCTTTCTCACGCGAGCGTACTTGTGCCCCTTGCGCAGTGACCAACCAGCAGCAGCAGCAGCTGTCGCGGCCGCAGAACTACACCATCCGCGGCTGCGTGCTGCTGCCCGAAGAGCCCGAGGAGCACTGCCGCCGGGTCAGCCAGGCCATGCAGTCCGCCCTGGTGCAGAACAACTTCTGCGGCGCGTGCAAGGCGGAGGGCTGCAACGCCGCGTCCGGGCTGAGCGTCGCCACCCTGGCCGCCCTCGCGCCCGTCCTCCTCACCCTCGTGCTCGCCGGCCGCCACTAGGTCAGCGCTCTCGCTCGCACAGCGAACCCAAATGTGCACTTCCATCCGAACACTTGAAGGTCCACGTGTGCGAGGTGATTCCAAACAATGTATGGAATTCCTAGGAAAGACTCACACGTTTACTTGAACCGACTGCATCGTATTTGGATGCGCTCCAGTGTTGCAGGATTGCATACGAAAGGATCGCAAGGACCGTGGCGCCTTAACACGTAGAGTCCCACGAGACCATACGTATGGTCACAAAGCACGTCATTAATGACCCCCTGGGACACAACGTGTTAAGGGGCGAAAGGAGAAGGTAAACCCGCAACATTAGAGCGCATTCAAAGATGCACCCCCCGGTACAAGTGTGCGGATGGCGATTCATGCTCCTCGAAGTTTGTGACATTGACACCCTTGAATTTTCCCTGTACTCACAGGCCTGACGCCAGTGCATCGTTGCAGGTCCCGAGGCGAGGTCCTCCGCCGCCACCCCAGCCACGACCCCAACCGCTGACGCTTGGACGCTGTCCAACAGGGCGTCGCTGCGCTTCTGCCGTCCTACCCCGCCCCTCGAGGGTTCACTCGCTAAAAATAAAAAGGAAAACGCGGGCGTGCGTGCGCAAAGCTGATCCAACGGCGACGCGACCCCTGCCTCTCCGGTGGCGACGCCACTACGATCTCGCACCCGTCCCAAAGGGTTCCCACGGGCATGACAGATGCAATCCGTCCATCGAAGGCCACGAGACTTGTTCATGGTTTCACGACATCCCTTGTGTCGGGCTAAGTCCTTGACCAGCCAGTGTCTTCTGGCTTGGCAAGGATTTTCCAGGACATAGCCCACTCAATCAACATTCAACAACACTCAAATCCCAAGAAATGTAGTCAAAACTCCACGTTCAATCAGATGATGTGGCTCCGGAGACGTCGAGGTGAGGAGGAACATGAAACCATGTCTAACAAAATTCTGAAGAACCATTACTTTAGGAATAAATTCTGACATTGTAGAAAAAGAACAGCAGCAGCAGGCAACCTCACATTTCTCTGAAGAACTATCATACCTGATTATTGCTGGCTGTGATAAAGCTTGTATTTCAATGGGAAAATGTACACGTAGATTGTGTGAATCCAGAATTCCTAGTCAGTAGGGGATGTAAAATTGTTGAAAAAAACTTAAGTTTCGTCAAAAATAAGAACTGGCCTCCTGTAAAAGTAAAATAAGAAAAGTAAAAATCAAGGTAATTTACAGTCTCAATTTTCATCCCCAAAGTTCCTGGAAAAACAAATTGCACCTCAGCACAATTTGATTTGCAAATCAGTTAGGTCGGACTTTAGATACTTACATCTTTGTAATGGTAATTCTTGCAGAAAAATATTAGGTGCTCTTGTTATAAAAGATTTCTTTGATGGAATATTGTTAGGTGAATTAATTTAAATTGTTTGCATTTGTAATGAAATTATTTTCCGTATGTGTTAATGAGGAGTTGTAAACTTGTAGCATTATTTATGTTCTTAGATTTCTTTCTTACTTTTAATACCTGCGTATGTAGAAATTCAGTTGATTGCTTCAATAGCAATAACTTGTGTGAACTTTTGTACTCATCTTCTGTGCTTGGAAGTAGGATCAAAATACCAGAAAAATAAATTTTATCCAAGACTAGAATGTTTATAACAGTCTAATACCTTCAACAACCCATGACTTCTTCTTACCTACCGCACATGAGAAGTTAGGATTATTCATATTTTTACAAACAGTCTGCTTGTTAATGACTAGACGAAGTTAATACTGCATAAATTTCCACAGCACAATTGAGAGGATTTTCACCTCAGTTTTCATCTTACTCAGAAAATACTAAATTACATACTAGTATTTTCGATAGATAAAATGCCTTGTAGGTGAAGTATCAAAATAAAAACTCTAAATACATATGATACGGACTAACCTGTTTAAATCTAAGGTTCCTAATACTTAATTAACTCATATTTCAAAATAGCTCCAAGGTATTCAACAACAGGGTAAAGTATTGTTACTTTTAAGATAAAAGCGATTCTTTTCTCCTGTGCTCCAACAAAGCTTGAAGGTGTGAGTTTTGCTCCTCGGCAGCTCTTTGTTTGGCTTTGGCAACTTTAACAACTTCTTCCTTTTTGGAAATAGCAAGTTTAACCCTGAGACAAAATTTTAAAAGATAAAATTACTGTCGTTATAAAAAAGTCTGTTTGGAAATGCAATGAACACACCTGTCAAACAGCTGTTGAAGTTCTTGTTGATGTGTTTGCCGCTCACGCTCTGATTGTTCTGAAAGTATTTGAAGCTGTTGCTGATGTCTCAAATGCTGTTCTGATAACTGTTGCCGAAGGCTATCCATCTCAGTGTTAACCTCATGTAGTAAAGATTGCTTTAAATCTGCTCTTTCAACAGATAATTGATCTGCTATCTGCAAAGCCCATGATTTGAAATATAAGGGTTACAACATTCTAATTACCAATAATCAATTTCTTCTGATAATCTTACCTTTCTAGTTTCAACAAGCTGTGTTTGTAAACTTCTATTGAGTGCCTCAGAACTAACAAACTTATCTTCTTTTTCCTGCAGTTGGGCTCTTAGTTCTGCATGTTTTACTTTAAGAGAATTCAAAGCTGTTTCAACATCCCTTAATTCTGATGTTAACTGCTCACGTACTCTTCTGCAAAAGAAATACCCCCCACGGTAACAGAAATTTCCGAATACACAATTAATTTTAAAAAGGGAAGCAATTAAACTATACTTTAGTCTATTTTCTGCCAACTTTTCTTTTTCCTCCCTTGAAATGGTAGCTTCATTTTCAAGCCTTTCAATAACATTTTCTATTTCTCTGTCCCTCTCCCTTTTGAGTTGATCTCTAATTTCATTTGTGGTTTGCACAAGAGATTGCTTTTGTTGTTGCTGGTAGGTCTCAATCCACGTTTCTTTTTCAGCCTTAACTACTTCACGGTACTGCAGCATTTCATTCTGCACGATAACAAAACAACACATGAGAAGAAAACTAGAGCTCTCCAAGATACAAAATACATGAAAGAATTTAAATCTATTACCTGCTGCTTGCGGTGCATTTCATTCAATTTATCTGCATAATCTCTCCTGACCCTGTCTCTTTCTTGCTCAGCTTCCCTCTCGAGCCCGCGTTTTCGTTCCTCAAACTGAGTTTCCAGTCTGGCTTCTAAAGTTGCCAAGCGGTCCTGCTCCCGTCGTACTTCAGCTACCAAACGTCGACGCTGCTCTGCACCTTCCTCTTCAAAGAGCAGTTGCTGCTTTTCCATCCTTCAAAAGATTATTAAAAATATGAAAACAGTAATCAAAGAAATAATGAGAATTCTTGCTTAATTATAGTAGAAGTAACCTTTGCCTCAGCATGTCACGCTCTCTAGCCAATGCATCCTCTTTTTCCTGAACAAGTTGTTCCCGCAAAGTTTCCATTTGCTGTGCGGCTCTTCTGGCAGCACGGACTTCCATCTGTTCTAGTTCTTGAGCATGAAGAGTTCGGAGAGCAGACATTTCTTGTTCGTGTTGACTAGTAAGACGAGTCAGCTCTGGCTCTAAGCCTCTCACAGTCAGTTCCTACATAAATAATAAACATTAATATGCAAGTTTTTCATACTCTAAGATAAAGATGTAACATTGTAAAGCTGGTTTAACCTTGATTTTTTGTGTCTTATTTTCCACCCAACGTTCTCTTTTTAACTTTTCTGTGGCTGCTGTTATATCTTTCACTCTTTGCATCTCAACTTTATGCTTTTCCTCCAAATTCACAATTGTCTTGGCATGTTTCTCTTCACTCTCCTTAGCATCTTGCACCAAAGATTCACACCTATTGCTTAGAGAGGTTTTGTCAGCAATCAACTAAAAGTTCAAGGCAAAATTAATTTTTGGTTTGCAAGACACATCATAATTTTAACCTGATTTACTTAATATTTGAATTTACCTGATCTATGAATTTTTGATGTCGTTTGATGACAGCCTCACATTCAGCTTTGACTTGACTCAAACGATTTTCTACTTCTGCATTGTGAGCTGCATTGCGTCTTGCCTGAGCATCTTTATGTTCGCGCAGTGCAGTTCTCAACAAGTTTATAGTAGCATCCCTATCCTCCAGGGCAAGCCGTAGGGAAACAATTTCTTGAGCTAACTCTGTGCGTCCTAGTAGAAGCAGCTCCTCTAAGCTGAAAGTGGAGTTCATTAGTAACAGGAAAGATTACCATCTATTAGATTAGCATATATTAGCAAGACATAAAAATGGTCTCTAACTGTTGTGAGTCTACAGGGGTAACTTGAGGTCTTGGAGAAGTCCTTGGACTAGAAATTGGACGAGGCTGAAGAACTGAAGAGCAGCTTTGGTCCACGGCATCCAGAAATGTTAGCAAGTCTCTGTTAAGTCATTAAATGCAACAAGTCAAGTAAAACCTAATTAGATAAAATTTACATATAAAAAGTCCCCAAACCTTAGCTCTCCTTGTACCGGTGTTTGAGGTGTACCGCTATCAGAACACATCAGCATTGCTGGATGTGGAAATTTCTCACTACTGTCATTTTTTTCTGAAGGTTGAAGTTTGGAGGGGTGATGGAGAGGAGCTTCTGTTTTCCCAGATGATAAGGATGAAGAATTGCAGATTTCCTCATTATTTTGTTGTTGGTTTTCAGACATAGAGGTATCTTTAGCCATTCTGAGCTCAGGTCTTTTGTTAAGGATTTTTAGCACTGCAAAAGAATTTTATATAAAACACTGACATTGTTTCATGGACACGAGTTTATAAATTCTAATCAATCATGATACACACATGAACTTTCATCCTCCTTTTCTTCCAAGACTCGAAGAATGGTCATAATTTCATTGTAAGGTGAATCAGAAAGGGCTTTTTCCGAATTTGCAGAAATCTGTTTCAGAAGTTACAGAAAACAGACATAGCTGTATGTTCTTTATGCAATAGATTTATTAAGAAAGAAGTGCATTAAAAGAAGAATATTTAAAGAATTAGATCACCTCATTTTGATTGGAACTTGCTCCTTCAGCAGTTTTTTCTTTCATTTCTTCGGAACACATTGACATCCAGGATACAAGTTCAGTTTGTGACTCTGCGGGAAATGTCTCCTCCTTTGGCGGAGTAAAATTCCGGTTACTATTGCTCGAGGGGCTTTTACTAAACCTCCTGCTGCTGGTACTCTAAAGAAACACCACAATAAGAAATGTAAATTTAATTGTAACTTTGCAGGAATTTCGCCTTTGCCGTCAGAATTAGGGAAAACACATCTTGTACTTACCCCATTGAGATCACTTTTTCTCTTAGAGGTTGATGGTATTTGATCCTTTTTCACGGTGTTTGTCATATTTTTAATTTTCCCTTGAGTAGAGAAGACTGGCTTTGAAGTACAGACACTTTTACAAACTCTATTCTTTATGTCATACTGATCCTGCTCTCTTTGCTTAGCAGAATCTACTGGTGAATCCAGACAACCACTCTGAGGACTGGAAATTTTAGTCTCTAAACTAATAGTATCTTTAGTTGGGGTAAGTTGCTTTGAGTCAATAGCGAACCCATCTAAAAAATTTACTTCTGATTTAGAACAATCATTTTTACTATCTATCATCAGATCAAATTGATCCTCTTTTAGTAGTTCAGCTTGACAGCCTTGGTTGGATGGTCTTTCTTCTTTTTCTTTAGGAGGATGGCAGGTTGCAGTTTTAGAAAGTTTGTCATCAGACTTGGAGTCTTTTCCCAGTCCCACACTTGTTGACTGAAAAATCTTGGAGCATTCAGAATCAGTAGAAATTTCTTCTACAGTGCAGTCCTGATAAATTTCATCATGGGGAGTATTGTGACGGGTTCCACAAAAATATGTGGGTGTGAGGTTGTCTCTATTTGAAGATGAGCTACTCATTCTGCTGTTATCAGTCATCCACTGTTGAAAACGAACATGTCCAAATTCATTTTTAGACCACTGATCGCTGCTACTAGGTCTATGCTCAAAATGGTCTGGAAGAGCACCAGAGGTTCTGTTTCTTCTCTGTAAATCAGAGCCATTGTTACTACAGCTCGAGTCACCTCCTAAGGAATCAACATCATGTTCCTTTGGGAAGCTTATTTGCTCAATACCACATGAATCTGATTTATTCAGAGCCTGATAAAATGAATGGTGTTGACTCCAAAATTCCGAGGAGGCAGGATTTGGTTTTAAAACTTCATTAACTGAACTACAGAGATTTCTTTTTTGAGGGCTATCATCCCTTCCATCCAAATCTGGTTTGTAGCTGACTTGTTTGAAGTCATCATCCCTTTTGAAGGAATGACTAGCGCCATAGGGTGAAGAGGAAAAAAGAAGTCCTGATTCAACCATACGTTGATGTAACTCTTTTGTGGACATTTTCTTTGTATCTTCCTCGTTAATAAATCCATTTGGGTCATTGTTAACTTCTCCTTTGGATTCTATAACAAGAGGGCTTGAAGGACCATAGGCTGCACTGTCATGCTGCAAATGATCTCTTGCCATGGCTTGTATTTGTTTGCCTAAACTTTTTTCAGACGAATGTTCCTCAGAAGCATCACTGCAGCATGGCAGATCAGACCCATTGTCGGTTGAAGATGAAATATGATTGCGATCAGAACGGCCTAAATATAAACCTCTTGTTTCTAGTTCCATCCATGCACCTCCTAGCTGATCTGATAAATGGGAACTGACGAGTGTTGAAGAAGAAAACTCTACATCTCCATCAGTTTCAAAGTCTGAGAGAACCAAAAAATAAATAACGATTTTAAAATGGAAAACAATAAAAAGAAATAAATACTATAGAAATTAAGAAAAGAAGTTGAGGATATGGCTCTCTATTTGCATGTATAATCCTGTAGATTTAAGTGTCTAGCACTCACAACTAACCATTTGGGGCCAGTCCCATAGGATCCGCAGACATAGAGAAGCAGGCAGAAAGTTTGTTGCGTTTCTGCTGATAAGATGAAAGAAGCATCTGGCTATCCGCAGAATATGGTCTTCGTTTGTCTCGAGTTATTTCCTAAATTTAATAAATGTATTAAAACCTCTCTAAAATAGAGCAAATCAAGATTTGATTATCAAACAGTTTACTAACATTGAATGTCATTGTAGGAACTGCTGACATCGGCCTCCTGACTCTGGAACTAGACACAGCAAGTGCTCGTATACTTGCTTTTCCCATAACAGAACGAGACCTGGATACGAGACTGACCTGAGAAAAATATTGATATGAGTAGAATCTTACAAATAAGTCATACTCTTGAAACAAGAATCAGGACACATAGAAAATGTGCAATAACAAGAATATAAGGAAAAGACATTGATGAATGATACAGATCCTTTTACTACAAAGTTAGGAAATAATTTGCAATAATAGTATTTAAATGATAATATGAAGTATAAGCCAGTACCTGAGAACCACTCAAGCTTAGATCTGATCCATCACCCTCTTTCACGCTAGATCTCCTACATTTTGAAAGCTCCCTGTCACTGTGCGACATTATATTTAAAAATAAAGCAGTATATTTATTGCAAAGAAGACACTTATTATTTGTCGTGACAAGGATACTTTTCGAAATTCAATATTTTGTTCTGGGGACCTCAGGCGACTGAACTTGCAGAGACCGCTCGCCCCGACATTTGTTTACAAACTTGAGTTCAGCGCTCCTGGTGGCAGTTTTGAAACTACTGAGAACATCTGAGCAAAGTGAAAGAGCGGCAAGTACAAATTTGAATGTGCAATCGAAATATATGCATTGCAGAGATTGCGGATTATTGCTCAGTTGAGTTCTAATGAAAAAAATAGGACAGGTAAATCATGAGAGGATATCATTTGTCAAAACTCGAGAAGCATTTTGAGAAAAAGTAGTAACATTCAAATGAAATACAGCGAAATTGATGCAAAGGAAAACATAATAGAGCACAACTCATTGCGGGTTGGATAAAAATACTTACTAAATTAATATTCAGCGTAAATCCGGTACTTTTTTGAGACCAATGCCACTTGTGCGTGTGCAACCAAATGTTTACCAGTAGACATACATAACCTCACCACACACCGCTGTGCAAGTCAAAATGTCCCATAGACTAAATTTGTCAGGGGGCAAAATTTTACATGAGATAAGATTAAGGAATGGCGCGTGAAGAAGGCCATCGGTGGAGGCTGCCATTGTGAGGAGTTCTCTCCAAAACATAACTTCCTCGACACAATTCAAAGCACAAGCAAAACAGCTGATTGCGCCGCTTTTCACTTGTCTAAAACAGGCTGCGCACAACATAGTCCCACTGGCGTATGAACACTAGCCAGAGCCGACGAAGTTTACGGGTTGTACGTATAACACTTGATTCAATAGGAGTATCGTGCAAATTATTAACTCTGAATACTATTTGTATACCTTCAATAAACCTATTTTTTAAAAATTTCCATTACTTCTACAGGGTTTGTTCATTCAGCCAACTGCGACTATGTTGCACGGCGGATGAACACTGTAGAAGAACAGTGAATCGACTGATACGAGAGGTAGCCATCTTGTATGAACAAAGCTTTCGTTGAACATAATTCACACAAAAATATTCGTTACTATTCGCATTGTGTCTTCACTCTGTACCTTTGGACTATGTCAGAATTATTGTACCACACGTTAACTTAGCTATGGCCGCTTCAAGAAAGCTTCAAGGTAAGGAAAAGGGTGTTAAAAGATGAGAAATACATGACCTCTCTCCGACCTGTTTACAGTTTGTGTACAGTTAATGAGAGGTTACTATCAATTAAAATCAATTTAAAAACTGCCGGTTTTACTGGTTATGAGTCATTTCTTACCAAGCTTTCAGTATAATTTGGTCCTGAGGTCCTTCAGTCAACAATAGCCCTTACAGATGCCATGGTCTCAACACAACAACACAGATGAAAGCTTGGCCTAGGCACAACGGATTCTCTATCATATGTTAATTTTCTTTCGTTTAAACACACACATTACTTTCTCTATATTTCTCACTATTCACGGTTCCACATTATTTGACTCGCGAGCATGAGTAATTCTTTCATTGAGCTGTGACAGTTAGTGTACCCAATGATGCTATTGTGTTTGTTTGTGATTCCTTAAGAATATAGTAAATTTTTCTCTCTCTTGGGTAACAGCCACTTTCAGAGCTTTTTCTTTTCACACCTCTCCTTGAATAATTGTTGATCCATCAGTGTGTGTGCCCTTTTTACTTCAGGCCTAATGTCTGGAAGTGAGGTTAAGTGTCCAATTGCTAACATCCTGCCTCATCTCATTTTAGAGCTCTCAAAATCAGTTTGTGAATTAAAAGGTTCCTCATTACTATTGCTTCCTAGGAATTTTTAAACTCTAAGTACTTTGGCTCTATTCCTTCAAAACAATTCTACTTCCTAAGAAATTTGTCTGAAAACTAAATTTATGTCAGTATCACAAGTGACTTTGTTCATATGAACATGTCGTAGATTGACCTGTATTCTACATCTATCTTTAGTCTTAACCTTTGGAAACTTTTCAGTATTGCTAGGAGACTAAACTTTAAATAGAGAGTATATATTCATCACTGTTTCACCCTTTAAACCTTCTCTTATGGTTCTTTTGCAATCCTCCTTGTTTTCAGGAGAAATAGACAGGTGTCATAAGAAAGTTGCAGAGGGTGTGGAAACATTTGAAGACATTTGGCAGAAGGTCCACAATGCCACAAACAGTAACCAGAAGGAGAAATATGAGGCTGATCTCAAGAAGGAGATTAAAAAGTTGCAGAGATTACGGGATCAGCTCAAGGTTTGGATTGCATCCCCGGATATCAAGGATAAAGGGCCCTTGGTTGATGACCGAAAGTTAATAGAAACTGTAAGTATATTTGTTCTTTTATCAAAACACAAAAGTAATATACCTTGTCAAATTATTTGTGTCCTTACCCAATTCCTTTAAAAAGGGCTTACACAAAATGTACTGTATTGGTATCTTCTCTCTACAGCAAATGGAGAGGTTTAAAATAGTTGAGCGGGAAACAAAAACCAAAGCTTACTCCAAAGAGGGCCTCGGAGCAGCACAAAAACTGGATCCAGCACAGAAAGAACGCGAGGAGATCAGCTGCTGGCTAGTCAATTCCATCGACGCGCTCAATATTCAGGTTACATGCCGTACCTTTCAGATAAAACACACCTCCCTCTAGATTAAAGGATTACGTTCTAATTTAAAATTTCTTCCCAATAGTTGGACCAATTTGAGTCTGAAATCGAGTCCCTCCTTGCGGGAAAGAAAAAGAGGTTAGATAAAGACAAGCAAGATCGTATGGATGAGCTTAAAGGAAAATTAGAGAAACACCGGTTCCACATCCGAAAACTTGAAACATTGTTACGAATGTTAGATAACACTGCTGTAGAAGTTGGGCAGGTAAGCTAGTAATCTAGTTCAACTCTTGAATGACGGCTCAGACTCAATTATTAAGCATTAATGCATATTTTATGTATGTATATGTACAGATAAGAAAAATCAAGGATGACGTGGAGTATTACATTGAAGCATCTCAAGACCCAGACTTTGAAGAAAATGAATTTATATATGATGACATTATTGGCTTAGATGAGATAGAACTATCTGGTGTTGGTCTTCCTTCATCTGCAACAACAGATAGTAATAACAGCAACGACACAGGTGGTACTCCCACATCAACGAGATCAGGTGGTTCACCACCCACTTCACCTCTTCAAAATCTCAACCATTCCAGTGAGAGCCCTACCCCAGATGCCGAAAAGAAGAAGAAAGACGATCAAATGGCCAAAGTTAGTGTAAGTATCTATCTATATCCTTTTTTGTATCTACATCAAGCAGGATGTAAGTCCTCACTACCTTCAGCTGTAAGAGAAAGAGCTTGATCTTTCACTTATATTTTTTCAATTTTTATAAATCTAATCTTTATGTTTCAGCCTGTAAAACCAACTGCAGTGAGAGCCAGCCAGCAAAATTCCCTCATAAACTCTACAGGGATTATCCCTCCTATTAAACCTGTTATGGTTACTCCTAGCAAGACATCTACTGGAGTAGCTCACTCCACACCTAACAATAGCTCTCCAAGCTCATTAATGAACCATTCTGTTGGCAATTTTGCTGCTGTAGCAGCTGCCAATAGTCACCCTGCACCACCTACAACCCCAACAGCTTCTACTAATTCAAACAATATTTCCAGCAGTAAATCAAGTAAGTCTTCAATTTGGATCTGGTTCTGATTCTTTTAACTTTAAAAGTTTAACCCTATTAGACATATCTATTGATTCTTTTTTTGTTTACTCTTTTTATAGCTCATAGTACAGAAAATGGCACCATACCTGTATCATCACCACACAGCCAGCCTCCAAGTTTAATGCCTGCTATTGGATCATCGAATAGCCAACAAGTTCCATCGTTACTTCACCATCCTGTTCCTCAACAATCTTTGGTTGACACCAGACCTGTGAGCAGTAGTAACAACAGTAGCAGCAATGTTAGCAGTACAAGCACAAGCAACCCACCTCCACACTTACAACTAGCCTCAGCAGGCTCAACACCACCTCCTGCTGTGTCCTCTAGTAACCAAATGTCATCTGTTGTTGGCAGTAAACAGACGCGAATGCAGGTTAGTAAATAATTGTAATTGTGTAACAATTAAGCATAGCATTTAGGAATCTCCTTAATAATACTTCTCAATTTGTTTCCAGGGAATGGTTAACTCTGTAGATCATCATCAGTACAATAATACTACCGTAAATTGCTCGTCACCCCCATCTCCAGTGAGCAGTTCGGCATCACCACTGCCAGCAGTAGGACCAGTTTCTGCTGCTATAGCTGCAGCATCGTCGGCGGGTTCCATATCTCTGGTCTCCCCTTCACCTGTGACATCTGCCCCTACGTTTGGCTTGGGCACGTCATCTGTTACAGCATTACTATCATCAACCCCAGTGCAACAACAAACACCCCAATCTCAACCAATATCCCAGCCCCAGTTGGCACTTCAACTCCAATCTCAATCCCAGCCGCAGCATCAGCAGCCACAGGCACAGCAACAACAACAACAGCAGCAGCAACAGCAGCAACCGACTCAACAGCAGCAGCAACCCCCAACATTAAATGGACCAAATGTAGGAGATGTTGCTGGACTGTCGTCCCTGAAAAGTATTGCCCAGCAAGCTATTGATAGAGCAGGTCTTGAAGTTCCACCTCCTGAGACAAGTAGAAGTAAGGGCTGCTCATGAATTTCCTTTGTCTAAGTTTTCTTTGTCTGCAGCTGTCAGCATACTAATCTAATCTAACCTTTTTCAGGTTTGTTGGAGTCAAAGATGATGATGCCTGTAACAACAGAAGCTCACATACCTCCTTTACTGGGAGTAGCACCTTTAGGACCTGTTCCATTACAAAAGGAGCATCAGCGCCAATTCCAAAAGCTTGAAGCTGCCTATTACCATATGCCTTTACCATCAGATTCAGAAAAATTGCGGTCCTACCTTGCAAGAAATCCTTGTCCAGCACCACCGTATTATCCCCAGGTCAGTTAATTGAATACATTAACACACAATTTCTTAACATGATAAAATAACACAGTATTTTAAATGTTTGACTACTACTATGTTTCATTTCTTATATTTGACTGTCAAATCAATGTTAT